GAAAAACCGGTACAACTTGAGAACTTGAATCACACAAGCCTCACTTTCTTACAACAACAAGACTTGAGTCACACAAGTCTTAAGAACAACACTCAAAAGAGATTGAGTTTACAACACAAGAATGAAAGCTCACACAATTGAGCAAAGTAGTGTTGAAGAATTTAAGCTCTATGGATGACAACTTCTTTAGCACTCAAAGAAAATATTTCTAACTCTCAAAAATAATATTTTGATGAGGAAGATGAAGCAAAGGATGAATATAGCTCAAAGAATATATTGGAGTGCAAGAGCTGTGTGTAGAAATGAAGGAGAATAAGGGATTAAATAGGCTGAGGATAAAAGATCCGTTGGAGCAGATTGAGAATAGACACCAGACAATATTAATCGATTAAGGTAAAGCCTTTAATCGATTAAGGTGTACAGAAGCGAAATGGTCTTTTGCGCAGGGTGCAAATTAATCGATTAAATTTGACAAAATAATCGATTAGATGGCGCTGTCTCAACTAATCGATTAAATGAAGAAGATTAATTGATTAATTTAAGAAAAAGTCTTCAGCGAGAAATGCAATCTTAATTGATTAAGTTTGATGGAAAAATCGATTAGACTGCGCTGTGAGAACTAATCGATTAAAAGAATAAGAAAAATCGATTAATAATGAAGGCTTGAGAAATCCGGAACTGGATCTAATCGATTAATTTAGAAAAATTAATCGATTAAAGTGGAAATAAAGCGCAAACATAAAGGGCCCAAGCAAAGTGCGATTGGAAACCTTTGGCTTCTAACTCGTTGTTTTGGACAACAGGAATATCAACGGACAACGGAAGCTCCTCAAATCTGATTCAATGAATTTGAGTAGGAGAGAAAAAGAGTCCAAAAATTATTTTGTGTGTCAAACGATTTACAAGAAAAATATTTAAAGTATATTTTTCTTACCAAAAAAAATTGTGTAATCTTAAAAAAATGTTTTTAAGAAGTTTTGACACACTTATTTTGAAACTGACTCAGTAAAATATTTTAGACAAAGGAAAAGTAATTTTTCAACTGACTCAAAAAATAATAATTTTTATCCCTCAGAAATTAATTTGTTTGTGCAGAAGATATTGTCATTCTTACAAATATTCCTAGACTTAATAAAAAAAGTTTTCGGAGTCTTCACTTCACTTCAAAAAAATATGCGTAGGGGTGGTCGTCGATTTATATCGCCGTAAACTTCTTGATACCCTTCTTTGCTTTTCTCGATACGAAAATAAATTTTCGATCAGCTTGAAATTAATCATCTTGTTTGTCATTCATCAAAACAAAAAAATATTCTAGAAGAAATAGAAAAGGGGTTTGAACTCATGTCCAACAATTTCCCCCTTTTTGATAATGACAAACATAGTTGAGAAAGAGCAAAGTAAGAGTTCAGAAATTACTTCCTTTTAAGAATAATTCCCCCTGCAAGGTTAGAGAAGTGCAATAGAAATAATCGGAGTAGTAACCGGAAAAAACGAAAAAATTTCTCAACTATCCTTCCTTCCCCCTTTTGGCATTATCAACCGATAACCTTCCCCCTTAAACAATGCCAGGATATTGAAGGGAGAAATGCCACAAAGGGACAATATGTTCTAAATAAGAACAATATTGCCAAGCCAACAATGATATTAATACACAAGCAGTTAATATCAACTAGCATCAACGAAAGGAAACATCATCATCCACCAAAAGAGTCATAACAAATAACAATGTATCATAATCAGTCAAGAGGGAAAGAAAATAACAATCAAAGAGAGTTCGCCGGACGAGCTCCTCCGCCAAAACTGTGACGCGGGCCACGGTAGGAGCGAGATTGCTCAAGACGAGTCATCCTCTCAATGAGCTGGCGAACGTCATCTCGGATGCACGTGAGAGTATCGAAGATCTTCTTCACCCAAGAAGGTTTCGGTGCTTCTTCTCTTGGACGAGTCCTCCGTTGACGAGTGACGCGCTCCGTGGCTCGACTTCCTCTGGCTCGAGATGACTCTGCTTGAGTCTCGTTTTGGCTCTCTTCTTCTTCTTCTGCGACTATCAGGTCCAGATTTGGTGCAGCATCGCCCTCCTCTCGATACACGATCCGGAAAAACTTGGCTTCAGTGATGAAACGCGTCTTCTTGACCGGCACCTGAGTGTCCCGAGTAAAGTCTATTTTGCAATGAGCAAGGATATGCATAATGGGGATGGCAAAACGGAGATGGGAAAAACGAGTGCCATCGCTAAGTGCAATGATAAAGAAGTGAACCCAATCAAATTTGACATCGTTCAACAGGACGTGAAACAAACGAATATCATCCTTGTTGACAACGCCATGGTTCGAATCACGGGGCAACAAAACATATGAGAAGATGTATTGTTGAACGCGTTGAATTAAAGTGAGATTAATGACACTCGGGTTGCTAGAATTTCTAAACCTGAGGTCACGATGATCTAACCCGAGTTGTCGCCAAATTGCCTCATCTTGGAATGTTTCATCCAAGTTTTCGGTAATTTCACGGCGACGAAGGCCAAACAAAGAAGTCAAACCGGCACCGTCAATGAAAACGGTTTTGCCGTCAACATAGGAAATGAGAGATGGCGAACCTCCCTTAGTGGTACGAAGATTTGCATAAAATTGACGTATAAGATTTGGACAGAAGAATTCATACGTCAAATGAATGAAACGATGCAAACCTTGCTGAAGAAACAGAGACTTACTCGGGGCATAGGTCACCGATTTGAAGAGGTCCTTGTTCACGATCTTGGGAGAGACGATCTCCTTCGTGAGGAAGATGTTGTGGAACCTCTCGATTGAAGCCCCAATGTTGAAGGCGAGACCCGTTTGAATGTGAATATACTTGCTCCCTTCACGACGCCATGGCCTCTCATTCTACTCTGCCGCGGTTTCTTATTTTTCCTTTTTGAAATTGATGAAATTTGGAAAAAAATGGAAGAAATTTGAGAAATTTATGGTGAAGATTGAGAAAATTTGAGAAGGGAAGAAACTAGGGTTTATCTGATTCGAAAAAGGGAATGGCGAAGAAGACAAAGCCTGGGCTGGATATAAGGGCATAAATCGAATATTAATCGATTAAAAGAAAGTATTTAATCGATTAAGGAACACAGCCGAGGCAAAATCGATTAAATGAAGCATTTTAATCGATTAAAATTGGAGCTGAACCAAACGTTTGCGTTTCAAGCTATTAATCGATTAAGCAAACGTGGTTAATCGATTAAGATGGACAGATGAGTCTAATCGATTAATGTAACCAAATTAATCGATTACAGTGACGCAGAGCAAAAAGTTTCGGATTTTAATCGATTAACAAAAGTCAAGTAATCGATTAAGAGGGACAGAGGCGACTAATCGATTTCTCTTCGAGGAGTAATCGATTAAAACTTGTTTGACAGAAAAAAAACATTAAGTCCAATTCGGTTGAATACCAAGGGAAGAGATACCTACAAAAAAAAGCCCTGCAAAAAAGAATTTATCGCGCCTCCGACGCTCAAATTAGTATAATCAATAAAAAGAATGGATTAGTTCATAGAGATATCCAAAATTCCAAGTTCGTTCCGAATGTGGAAGAAACTCTCCCTACTAAGGGGTTTCGTGAAAATGTCTGCCAATTGATGTTTCGTTTCAACTAACTCAATTGTGACATCTCCCTTTTGGACGTGATCTCGTATGAAGTGATGCCTAATTTCTATGTGCGTAGTCCTCGAGTGAAGAACGGGGTTCTTCGTTAGACTAATAGCGCTCATATTGTCACACCTAATAGGGATGTGATCAAGTATAAGGCCGAAATCCACTAGTTGTTGTTTTAGCCAAAGAATTTGGGCACAAAAACTTCCCGCAGCGACATATTCCGCTTCGGTGGTGGAAAGTGCAACACTAACCTGCTTCTTACTAAACCACGAGATTAGCGAATGACCGAATAAGTGGCAAGTACCGCTGGTACTTTTCCTATCGAGTTTGCAACCTGCAAAATCCGAGTTGGAATAGCCAACAAGATGACATGTTGAACCTTTGGGATACCAAAGACCTACATTCAACGTGCCCACGAGATATCGCATTATCCTTTTGATCGCAACCAAGAGCGACTCTTTAGGACATGATTGATACCTAGCGCATATACAAACGGAGTACATGATATCCGATCTACTCGCGGTAAGATAAAGTAAAGAGCCGATCATACCTCGGTAGCGCTTGATGTCAACATCTTTACCTTTTTCGTCCTTGTCGAGATAGCAAGAGGTGCTCATTGATGTGTCAATGGATTTGGATTCGGTAACATCGAATCTTTTAAGCAATTCCCTACAATATTTTGTTTGACACACGAATGTTCCTTCTTTGGATTGTCTAATTTGCAGCCCAAGGAAGAACTTTAATTCTCCCATCATTGACATTTCAAATTCACTTTGCATCATATCGGAAAAATCCCTGCATAAAACCTCGTTAGTAGCACCGAATATGATATCATCTACGTAAAATTGAACCAAAAGGATGTCTTGGTTATCTTTCTTGATAAAAAGAGTAGTGTCGACTTGACCCTGTTTGAACTCATGGTCCAAAAGAAATTTGCTTAACTGTTCATACCAAGCACGAAGTGCTTGTTTGAGACCGTAAAGCGCCTTTTTGAGTTTGAAGACATGTTCGGGAAACTCATAGTCTTCAAAACCCGGGGGTTGTTCGACATACACTTCCTCTTGAATGATACCATTAAGGAAGGCACTTTTAACATCCATTTGATAAAGTTTAAAATCCATTGTAGATGCAAATGCAAGTAATAAACGAATAGCTTCTAAACGTGCAACCGGTGCATAAGTTTCTTCATAATCAATGCCTTCTTCTTGATTGTAGCCTTTAGCTACAAGCCTAGCTTTGTTTCTAGTGATTA